GGGGGGGGGGAGGGAATCCTTATACTCGATTCCAAACAGGCAATGCCAACCAAATTGTCATTTCAGAAGCGACAGCCCGTGCAAACACCGGAAAGGAAGGCAGCAAAACAAGCGGCTGGAGTGATTCCAGTCATACGGGCGGGGTGGGGACAGAGGTCAGCGGGGCCAATGCACCGCCTTGGAGCCCAGTCCAGGACTCGGGATCCTCTCCAGATGGCACTAGGACAGGCACGCTGCCAGCCCAGCTCGGATTGGCGCCCGAGAGGCGACTCTTGTCACCCCAGCCCTTCCTCCCTCCATCCTCCCCTCCAATCCGGGAGCCCGGGTCCAAACAGAGGAGGTGCGGGGGCGATGGAGGCCGGGCTGGAGGCCGGGCGCGCGGCAGAGCCTACCCCTGGTGGGCGGCGGGGTCCCAGGCCCCGGGCAGCCGCGCGCTCTGCACCGGCTTGTTGCGAAGCGCGCTGTCGTGGTAGATGCGGCTCATGGTGGGGACCGCCGAGGCGTCGACGGAGCAGAGGGCCGAGCCAGGAAGCAGGGGGCACGGGGAGTGAACCACCTTGGAGTCACCACGCCCCGCAACTCCGGGGCAGCAGGCATATCCGGGAACAGGGCGGCTCTGGGCGTTCCCGGGCGGGATTGAAAGGATTTAAAGGGGCCGAGCCCCATTCCTGACGGCGGGCGCGCGCGGCGGGAGGGGCTTCCGGAAGCTCGCGGCGCGGGTGTGACCTGCGCGCTGCAGGGCGGCTGATGCGCGCGCGAGCTGCCTGTTATTCTCTCTCCGCCGTCCTAGGAGCCAGAGGGATCCCTACCTGCACCAAAGGGAAGAGGAGGCTCAGAGAACCTAGGAGATCTCTATTAGCTTTGGAAGACTAGATTTTGGGGGAGCAAGAAAGGAGAATTTGTTAGAGATTAGATAGATAGATAGATAGATAGATAGATAGATAGATAAAGAGATAGAGATACAGATATAGAGATTTTTTTTTTCATTATTCACCATCTCAAGAACATGGAAACAGCCCGAATGTCCAAACACAAAAGAATGGATTGAGAAATTATGGTCATTCACACAATGGAATACTATGCGGCACAAAGGAGCAATAACTTTGTAAATTATTACCTAACTTGGGAGGGACTGGGGAGCATGATGCTGAGTGAACTAACTCAGTCCCATAAGGACAAATATTGTATAAAACCATTATTGTAGAAGGAGTATAAGGATCCAGGAGAGGTGGGAGAGGCTGGAAGCAGAGGGATGCGAATGTGCAGGGAAAAGGGGTGCTTAATCATTGCTTTGTACAATTTAATGGGTGGGGAGTGAGAATTTGTTCAAATTTGTATTTGAATTTTGTAAATAAACTAGTAGATGTTGTTGTTGTTGTTATGTGCCGTCGAGTCGTTTCCGACTCATAGCGACCCTATGCACAACAGCCCTAAACCCTGCTCAACCGCACCGCCTCTGACACACCCATCCCGATTACCC